TATTTAGTTATAGGGAAGTATATTTTTTCTCAACTCATTAAGATCTATCCGTTAATGTAAGGAATTGGCGTCGATAAAATAGTGCTTTATATGAAAAAATGTTTTCCACTGTTTAGTATTTCCATCAGAAATTTTTTTAAAAAATATTTTCGAAAAACATTGTTCAACAAAAATGTTTCTCATGTCACTACCACCTTCCAATAAGCACGCGAATTAAGTTCGTTTAAAAAAGAAGAACTCAAAACGTATTTTCGTCTGTCTGTCAATTTAGCGAGACGAACGCTTCGGAGTTTTTGACCATTTTCACGTTAGAATATCCATTTGAAGTAAAAGGATATGTATCGCATCTTGATCAGCCCTCCGAGAGCATTCGGCTGACTAAGAACGACGCTCTTACATAGTACTCCATGTTAAGTCTTCACCCTTCAAAATCTTCGATAGGCAAAAAAAAAGAGCAATTTGTGGAAATATATATTACGTTTTGTAGCATGGGAAAGCTAACTTATCGTGAGAGGTCTATCATGCAATTTGCTTAATCTTACATGCAGTTCTTCCCAGAACGGAACTGGAAAGGTCCACCGGAGATCAGCCTACTTCAGCCACTTTAAGGGATGATTTTGGGTCGGGCAGACAAACAAATAAATATACACAAAAATCTGCTAGTAAATAGATAAATGGTGTATCGGCTAAAAAAATAATTGGCTCTAAACTTCAAACAATGATTTGTAAACTCCACTTTCTAAAATTCACCAAAGAGGGGTGCCTTGAAATTCTCCAAAGCTAGGACATGACATTGTGCCTCGTTATGTTGTTTTCTTTTTACCCTGTTATGGATCACAAAAGTTTTGAGTGTGTCTAAAGATCGTTAGTTATCAGTGTCTGCTTGATTAGCTAATTCCTTGGATCCACTAAGGTAAGCTATTTTCGCACAAAATCTAAGTTTGAATTGTTGATGATTGAAAATAAAATATAACAGTTGCTGATAATGATCCATATAATTGTACACGATGACCATAACATGTTAGCTTGGTCGTCGGTTGCCTGCGCTTTTACATTCCCTCTATTTATTTATTTCTATCACACAAACCATTCGAAAGCACACTTTCCGCTGTGAAGTAGTTGTGTGATTAGCAGAATTCCGTTTCACGTTTAGACTCCCAAATTGAATGGTTTTGGTAAAAAAGCGCATTTTTGATACCTACTATATTCTGCTTTTTCTAAAATCCAAAAATCTGCCCAAGCAGTTAGGGATATTTATGCAATATACAATGTGAATTGCCCCCCTAAGAGGACCACTCGAATATGATTGTCTAAATTTTGTAATGGAATCCTAAACCTGGAAAAAGCGCTTTTCTTTGGTCAGCTATCGGAAATTAATAAGGACATTCTGAGGGCGCTTTCGCGGACAACAAAATGAATGATTTAGTAAAGAAAATGAACTCCGATCTCGTGACTATTATCAGCCGTGACTACTTCATAAGATTTACAGAAAAAGCCTGGCTGCCCTACAAATCAAGCGAAAACAACAAATAGACATGACTTTTCATCATCTGTCGATTCAATATCGAGAAACTCGCAGTTACAAACACAAATGTATGTTCAGAATTGATGACAAAAAGTAATACCTTTACGCCAATATGAAACAGAGAGATAAATAAATCCCTATAGAAGGTACGCCTAAGCCTAGATGTAAACTTGATGTCTGTCTTATAATGATTGTGAACCGTTTGGTAAGATTAGAAGGATTTTATAAACGGAGAAGTGCTTGAGAAAAAAAACAATACTGCATACGGTTCTGCTGCATCGGGTAAAAAAAGCTATCCAATAGAAAAGACCCGATGGATAGAGAAATGTTACTCAAGAGAATACCAGATTATACATGGCAAAAGTCGTTAAAGCTGCCATTGTGAGAGCTTCAGTGGAAGGTTCCTTAGCGCCTACAGTGTTTTCCGGACCTCATAACGACAAAATAGTGGAAATTCCCAAAAAGTAACCGAGCTGTTCAACACCAGATCTAAAAAGTCTTGTCTAAACAGAATAAATAAGTTAGAGGAGAGATAAGAAAAGATCATGGAAAGAGACAGAAAATAATTTATTATTTATTATTACTACATTATTATTATATTATAACTTGAAAAAACAAACTCGAATGCAAGGCAACGTTTTCTATGAAAAACGGCCAATACTTCCGGACCAACCTAATGATTTGAAGTAAAACTGTACTAGTTAGCGATGAATTCGTATTTCGCGACAAATATGTACCCAGATGGGCTTCACTGGCCCATTCTTTAAGCGGTCAAACTACACCTAGAATTTTAGCAAGTAAAAATTTGTGTCATATTTGACGACTCAATGAAGTTGAGGATACGCATCGAAGAAACGCCCTAATCTCATCGTATATGTTAAGAGGTTGAGAGCACCCCAACAACAGATGTCTCAGTTTCTATAAGGCCCTTATGGTACCAAAATGAGTATGCTCTTTGCATGTCTTAGCTCCTTCCCCTAAAAGAGGCCAAAATATCTCGCGGTGTTCACAATACAGATGCGCAAAGCAAGCCATTCCATAACTCGACGCAGTAGTGTGCAAATACTGAATTTGAAAACAAAGTTTCCCAAGCGACCCGCTTGGCGCGTCATAGGAACGTGACTAACTTGTTCGCTAACAAGTCTCTCACTGTCTTTGACATGGGAACTGCACTGAGCAAAAACGATGCCCGTAATGGATTTGTAAAAAAAAAAAAATGCTTCCACCTGGTCGTACTCTACTCGTAGCTCGTAGCTCACTAGGTCGTTTGTAGCAATCGTAGGGTCTGTCTTTTAAAGTTGGTTGTGTTGTCTAAACCCATTTTAGAGCAATTTTCACTGGAGTTGTTCTTGTGTCCGGCATAGCAAATAAGTTTCTCTTAAGTGCCGCGGAGGCGTTTTAATATAAATGGCTTGTTTCGTTTTTTTCCCCGTGAGCTCTGCATAGACAAACACCTTAGTGTCGGCTAGAAGGACAATGGTCATTAACAACAAATGGTTCGAGTTTTAAGTCTTGTACTACAAACGTTGCTTCAGATGGTTGGCTCCCTGCACGAAGCAGTGCGTCTACGTTGCAATTCAAACCCAAACCACTACGTATCTTATAGTTCAGTAGGCAGAAACGTCACCATGTGGCCCGCCTAAATAGCCTTGTGTAACACTTGCGCCGTCTCTCACACCTCTGCGCAATACAGACTTGGTTATTTTTCCTTATAGTGTTGGCAAATACCAGAGTCAGCTTTGCCAACAATCTCCCGTAAGTCAGAGTTAATCAATTTTTGGCCATTGCTAATAATAAGTAGTGTAACATATGTAATACTAAAAGCACGCGCTATGAACAGTGGAATATATTTAAATGCTAGAGATGTCTACCACAGGATATATGGAAATCTAAAGCCAAGTAAGTCTATCATTTCCATTGGGAAAGGACGAAGCACCTCTTGTCCCAATCTGACTGTGTAGTCATGATAACTAAAGGGCGAAAACATAAAAGTATAACCGAATTAAAAGTGCAAGGAAAGCCTTCTAACTACAGCCATGTTCCCCTCTAAGCAATGCCGTGACTGGTTTTTAGCAGAGACAGTACCGGTAACCACTTGAAAATGCTCCTTCAGTTTCAGAGATCGATTAACTTAAAACGGATTTAATAGCAACAAACGAAGTATATAAATTAAGGCTTTTTTTTTGGATTGTATGCTCACGGTGTACCGTAAAACGTTCAAGAATGTGTTGAAAATTGTTTCCGTAGAAATATCAACTGATACAACTTAAATGCTTAGATACAGCGTGGCTTCAAGCGCAGTAAAGTAGGTGAATGTTCTTCAGCAGTAGCTTAATCATATGTGTATGACTAACTAGAAATTGTTATTCAGAAGATTCATTTTAAAGTCGCCCCTGGATCCTCAGCGGGGCATTTGCGTTTGGTCAAGAGCCTATAATGAACAACTCTACATCGGAACATCATTGAGAAGATAATGCATGTTTTGATAGCACGGAAATCGTTATTTTCCGTTAATGAAAAGTTTCAAAATTTAAAGTGTCAAATTAGTAAATGTCCTTGGCATACTACTAGGCCTTTTGATATATATAATATGTCGTATATAAGGCCTGGTGTACACAACGTCGCCATTAATATCGGTAAGAATACATGGGACTGATGTAAAAGTATGTAAATGTAAATAGTTCACCAGGAAGCAGCCTGTTTTGCTAGGCTATGTTGAGTAGACCGTAAGACATGACCTGAAATCATCCGTTTATAGCATCTGAATAGCAGAGGTGACGTGAATCTTAGGTAATGCAAATGAGGATCTAAATATTGTTGTCTCAATGTCCCTCAAACACATAAAGAACATACAGCAGAGGTTGAGCTCCGCGTAAAATAACGTTTCAGCTGGATTCTTAAACAATTTTGATGAGAAATCCTGATTTAATTTATTTTGTATTTATATTAGCCAATCGTGATCTACGCGACACCTACCTGAAATCCAAGCCTAGACATTACATAAAATGAAATATATTTGCTGCCCATTGGAATCCACATGCAAGCGAACCATATGAGACTATATATGTGCCTTATACGTTGCACTATGTGGTTTTGTATCAAGGTGGCATCTTCATACGGTCTGCTTATATGTGGATTCCAGTTGCTGGAAGTACGTGGAATACGTTGTAAGTGGAAAGAAGAACATGGAATCTTCTTAAAGATGACCTCAGTTTTTCATCTCCAAGCACAAGAAGCTATCCAAATTAAGTTTTTCGAGCCTTGTTGCCGGATTCGAGTAATCCTATTTAGCTGTGTGTTGATTATTCTCTAACTGTGGTAGACAATTATGCTATGAGGGCATATACTTGATGCCTATTTTATCTGTAAAACATATGAAACATTGTCTGAGCAAACTGATAGCAAGTTAAGCGAGAACGCTTTCCCTCTGAGCGTTCGTAGCGCCCTCTGAGCGAAAGTACTAATTCACACTGACCTGCACGACGAGAACGATGAGCAAGGCAATTACGTCGATGCATTTAAGAATACGGTTAAGCGAACAGCGCTCACGGCCCCGTAAGGTTCGGATGGCGTCGCAACAACCCTAGAAATATATTGGAAACGCAAAAATTCGTCAAACACCATTTTTAATTCAGACCTTCAAACTACTAGATCGTTCGCTTTTGTCACCACAACCTGAGCCAGAGTACAAACAATGCTTTAATTATACTAAATGCACCTTATATATATATAACGTTAAGCAATTTGTAGTCTTCTTTAGATTAAAAAATTCAGTTTTATAAATGTGCTTTGGAGTGGCGCTTGGACCCTAGCTTAAATGTGTAATGGATCAATTTGCTATAAAACATTTGTTTTAAAACATTATCTTACGATTTATTATACATGCAAAAGTTTATTTTTTCTAACTTGCTCAGCCGGTATAAAAGGCCAGTTTAGTCAGACAATACTATGATATTATGAAATAGCAAAATAGTGATTGATTATTGCGGTTAGCGTGAAAATATGAAATTCGAGTAGAAGTCGTGATTTTTTCCTGTACAGTCAGATGTCTTATTTCTGCTGATGTACAAATGGGTTAAAACGAAGACGCTTTTTCCATCGCGCTGTTCAGAACAGACAAATTTATTGTCAAGAGATTAACTGGTTTCACGAAGGTGCGCTAAAAGATCATCTGACTCCTTGTTCCAAATAGTAACATCAGATACTTAAGCAGTTCTCGTATCTATTTCAGTTTTGTTTACTGACGATTCTAACATTTTTTATATGATTTATTGTTGACATTGGTATTATTGATTGGTAATTGAAAAAACTGGCTGGAATTGCCTACAGCAGGATCTGAAAATCGTGCCGCTTTTGAAGTTGGTACAAATTTAAAAAAGAAAATTTATATTCAGTAAATTGTCGATAATCCACTTTATTGCAACGAGAAATTGACGACTTGTTTAAAATCATCCCATCGTTAAATGCTTCCAGTTTTCAGAAAAAAGCTCTACTTTTGGCTAGTATCCGACTTATCGAGAGAAGGCAATTACGACGTATGCGTAGAAACTTAAGAAGCACCATTTAATAGCATTATGTCAGTATATCAGCTAGAATTCGGCCTTCTAGAAAGCTCAAAAAAAATATCACGAGTGTATAGGACCAACTTTCTATGATAAACACAAATATTAATACCGTAATCTTAGGTTAGCATCAGTGATACCTAAAATAAAATACCACAAATATAAGTATAATTTACTGACAGGCGGCCATTTTTTAAATGAGCAAACAATTTTTAAAAAAGCCCGCGTTTACGATGCAATACCCGCTTGTTTGTGATGACAGGATATGTGTGCGATCCTCAAAACCATAATTATTCAAATAAATCCAGATTTGAACCGGCCTTTATAACTTACAGAACTGATGCGTCTTGTTTTTCCATACTTGCAAGTATGGAAAATACTTTTGCATCTTAATACCTCTCACCTTAATATATTTATTTATTGTGGTGCGAAACAGTATGATAATAGCAAAAATAAGTGACGTGTATGATATTTGTTAGATTTAAGTGTTGTCAGAACACTAGAATCATTTAAGTATTTCAAACAAATGACTGTTTCGGTCACGGAAGTTCTGTGGCACCCAATTTGCTCGGAACCGGAGAACTTTTGCAACAACAAACCTTTGCATGAGTCAGATTTTAGTGACACGCTGCGCTTTCCTTGCTTTGGTGCATGGCGTCTCGTTCCACACTCGTTAGCCACATGACTAGTCATCTGCGATGGACTATGGGTGAAGGATAACAAAGTGCGCTTAGCCATGCTTAATCTAAAAATTTCTTGTCTGTATTTCGGTTAGCCTTTCCATGAAAATTCCATAAATATGTGGTTATAATAGGGCTATAATAGTGACAGTGCAATGGTAGCGTATAGCAGGCTGCTCGAAAAAAACATGAAACTTTCCTATAAAACAAGCAGCACCCACTTAGCGTTTATGTTTTTCAAATGCACATTAAGCATTTGCATCACATTAAGCAGGAGTATCGGCATCCTGTTGCCCGTTTTTATTTTAGAATCGAATTTTTTTTTTAAGGCTCTTTAGCGCACAGTTTTTAAACTTAGTTAGTTGAATGAATACGAAGTTTTGCACCACGAGACTATCTTAAGGGCGTCACTAAAATAACGACTGAGGGCCAATGGGTTCTTGTGATTGGGAAGCACGTAATTAGTTGTTCCCCCCAAAACGATGGCCTTTTGTGCCAGAAGAATTTATGCACACTATTTGAAACTTCCAGAACAACTTTCTTGGTTGTCGCATAGAAAACAAGCGATGGTATTAGAAAGAAGAAAATACTATTCCTTCTATGTTTTAGTTTGAACCTGATGACTTTCCCAAAGTTATGAAGCCCCTCATGGATCGGTTCTATGCCTATAACACACAATACAATTCGTCCACATATAAATGTTTTTATGGCTAAAATAAACAAATATACCTAAGAGATAAGGTTATGTCTTAGAAATTAGAAGTAATTGCTTGTGTTGCCCTCTTCACTATATTGGTTGACAACAAAGAGCTTTGTGTCTTTTGTAGACACTTTATGGATCTCAGCACAAGCTTAAAACTCATGGTAGGACAATAATAGGCGCATTCTAGTTATTTGTTTGCAGCTGTCATTTGTACATCTCTTTTGTGTATAAATAGCTGTTACCTTACAAATTGGATATATATATATATATATATATATATATATATATATATATATATAAGCCAAATACATAACAGGCTAATTACACAGTGAGCTAGGCTCTCTACAGAAAACAATAGAAGCGGCTAGCTCCATGACATTTATCGCAATTCCCTTCATAACATTTCATAACATGTTAAAGTGTACAACTGTAGATAGTTTGTGGTGGAAGCCGTTAACGCAAAACGGCTGATCCCGTTTTTTTCCTTCTAAAAAGTTTCTCTTTGCCTCCGTTTTTAAGACCCCGCCGTTTATTTGGACAGACTTCTCCCCTCACCTTTTGAAACACTTAAAGAAGGCGTCGATTGCAGTAACAGCAGAAGGAGTTTGAAATGAATACTCTATCCCAAATTCGTTGATTCGGAAAAAGGGTAGGTCTATCATTCCGTCATCTAAATTTAAGCCAAAGTCTTGCAGGATTGCAGCTCGTAAGGCAAACGCGTTCCAGGTAGCTCCGGTGTACGCTAAATTATAAAGGATCTGATCTTTAAGCTTGAATAGAATGTTACCTTTAGGTTAATAAACACCGCGTACAACAGGCTCAGTAGCTTATTGCCTTTTCAATTCGGCTATAAAAACAAAAATAAAAGTACATAAACAATATTGGATAGGATTTTAACACAACTTTCTTTTGCAAGAAAGACAAATCGTTACTCATTAGAAGTTATTCGTAGAGTAATTTTTTTTATTTTTATTTTTATTTATTATAAACTAACCAATTTGTGTATTTTCACCTGGCTTCACCACCTCTCCTTATGCTATTCTTCGTGACTCGGTCGACAGCGTTAACATCATGATACCAAGTTCAATATACGGATGCTATCCAAAAGAGGTACTTCCTAACACCTGTCACATAAGGTAGTTAAAGAAGCAACAAATAACGCTAAGAAACTAATATATATATATATATATATATATATATATATATATATAATATCGTTTGAAACCCACATGCGCAGACATCAGGCACGTGGACCGACCGCGGTTCAAAAGGTTTTTCAAAAATATATTTTGAAACCACAAAGCATCTACGGAATCGCACCTACGGCCTCATTCATCGTAATGTTCACCGTAAAATCATTGCTCGAAGCACCGCAAGAACGCACGAGCCAGGCGCCTTTAGTAAAAGTGCAGCCCGTTTTCTTGCGGATGGGCTACAACGGTCGCTATTGAACGAATGTAAGAGGATGGCAAATGCTGGTTAATGTGTCGATCCCCTAAAAGTAGTTTTCGTTGTCCATGATAACGACGTATACTACCCCGCATGATTATAAAGTAAATCATGTCTTATGTACGATCCAGGCTGTTACACAACATCTAGGAAAACTGAAAAACAAGTGCAGTTGTATATACTCATTTGAACAAACAAAAGAGCACGTCTCGGAACTCCCAACGGCCTCAAAAACCCAGACCCGCGTTAAAGAAAGGCTGTATTGACGGATCTACGCCAGCGGATGCTTATCGCTTGACTTCGTTCTTTGACGGACTTCACAACTACGAAAATTCTCCTGGGCACTCAACCGTACTTTGTACTTCGAAAGATAGCCTACACGGCCTTTGTGAACCTTGCTGATGACTTTAATGGTAGATAGAAAGCACCGCTTTGCAGACTGAGGGAAGATCAATCGGAGACTTTGTGGCCCAGAACAGTTAAACGTGGCCCCAAGCATTAGGAACCTCGTCACCTTTCCGTTTTTTGTTGACAAAGCAACTTTGCGGTTTCTGCGAGGCTTAGTTACTGCCGGGCGCGGTGCGCGCTTGCCAATTAATGGACTGTTGTAAACTGGCGTCAGCCCACGGCTCATAGTTAAGCTCCGAAGTGTCGCACTGTATAGATGCGGCAAAGCTTCGGCGTTGCGGTTTATCATGTTAATCCAGTTTCGAGCATCGAAATGGTATTCCAACAGCAAGTTTAAACAAAGATCTCTTACTTAAAAGGTCTCTGAGCGCAATACCGTCGGTGGCCATCATAAATCGCCGCCCATACAGATACAAGTAAAATTTTTTCCTGCTTAGACTACAGCCGAACATGCAACCCTTGACAGGATCCATTTTGCATCTTGGATTAAGAGTTACGTACTACACAACTTCTTGTACGGCGAACAAGTAGTTCAAATATGGAGCCCTAAAGCCGCAATGCTCAGAACAGAGGACTTCTGCCGTACGTGATGCAAATGTTCCTCAACTCCTCTGGAAAACACCATTAATATCATATAACTCCACCAACGAGCTTATTGGCCGCTGGAACATCGTTGAAGCGTTATCTAGCCCAAAAAGCATCCGTTGCCCAAAATGCAAAACGCTATTCTCCTCGGACCTTATGCATACCTGCCAGTAACCACTTCTCGGATCTAAATTCTTCATTTTTCGAAAGCGTTTCTTTGCGGCGGGGGGAAAACTTTTTGGTCGGCGTGTTAAATATCTAATAGTCTACAGATGGATTTGTTAGCGCCTTCTATGATTCAGAAACAATTTATTAGCCTGCAAGCTCTTTGAAGTTTATTTCAGCCTGCTACTGCGTCGGGCCGAATCACTTTTCTTTAACTATCATGCAGAATGGTAAGTATCGGTTCAAACGTGCTTTTACTTGATACACTTTTTTCACATTAAATTGGATAGATCGAAGCAGTTTAACAAGACTCTTCACGAGCGGCAAGTTATTTCTTGGCAAGGTACACGGGCCTGCAAACGAAGGTGCTTCGCCTATTGGCCATCGCTTAGCGTTGCTTTCAAACGATTTGTACCTTTGCCTTTTTCGATAGACAACCACTAGGATCCTAGTATAGAGAAAACGCAAGAACACCCATTTTAGACTTGGACAAACTGTGAAAAGATTGTTGGGTCTAAAAATTATGTTCTGTGTTTTGATATGACAGGCGACTGCACATCTCATGTACAGCTCTTTAGAAAGAAAGATTGTGATCCAAAGTGCTGTAATTGAAATCCACTGCTGTCCGACACAGACACATAAAGCTAGGATGGCGGTGTAGTTAATTTGACTGGTGCTGCTAAGTCAACGTCAAGGGTAACTATCAACAATAGATGGCAACGAACAGGCATCTCTCCGAACTACACATAGTCAGCGATCTAAATTGGAAGTTCAAAGATCGCCCCACGTACTGTAAAAGTGTTCGCAACTTCAGTTAAAGCATTAATTCGAATACTTCGCAGCTGGCCCATCTGCTTCCCACACTGCCCCCTCTTAAATTAAAATCAAAAAGCTGTTCTCATTGGTTGACTTGAAAAAAACTATAACCGTACAACGTATTCATTTCGAGGTCCTACCGTTAAATATAAAGTCCATGGGCCAGGACCATGGAATCTCGGAAAACGATACAAGCCAACATGCAACGCATCAAATCAGTTAAATAATGGGTTCTCCAACGGCTACTCATTAAGATAGCAGCACCTTCTGCTACCTGTCTCTAATAGCTTTTACCAGTGAGATTTGGGCTGATGAAGCTGTCAAGGGCCAAACTGCCGTTTTGATGGGATTTCTGGTTGTGATCGATTAAGACCAATTAAGACGACGGATATAAATACATTTCTTGCGAACTTCGAGTCGGTCTTCAATTAAATAAATCTAAGTAAACTTAATCAAACACCTTCAATTTTCAAGGCCAATTGTGCAACACTAATGACTTTTCACTTATGAAAGCGATATTATTCTTATATATATCACCAATAAAGACGCCGGCAAATATTTTCAAATTGCTAATAAATAGTATGATCCCTATCATATTATCTGTAAAATCGCCTTCTTTAGGACATGCTTTCGGTACAGTTTTTCGCCAATTCAGCTATGAGTGGGTCCTGTTGCCACACATCAATAATTTATTTTTCATAGAGATCTGTTATTTCGTGCGCTTCCGTCGTTTTACAATTTTCCAGGCGTCCTCAACGGGATTGAAGTCTGACGAATTACCAGACCATACAAACACCTGAACGCAATTTGCATTGAGTAGCCTAGAGATAATTTGAACTTGTGACAAAGCATGCCACCACCCGTCTGTTAGTCACCGTCAATGAACTATGCCCGTACTTAAGACAACATCTTATTTTCTATAACCTTAGCCTATTTTTGCTGTGCAAAACGTGTCATTCCAGTGTTTTTGCTATATATAAATCATAAATTTTAACATAATTTTTGTTTAATTTTCGGCAAGACGCCATTTTCGAAAAACTACCAACACTTTGAAGGTATAACGGGCGTTTTTCCCAAGATTTCAGAAGAAGATTTGTCTGAGAGACAGATTTTTTTTAAGTTTTCAAAGGTCCAATTTTTGATGCAGTTTACCCAATAAAAACGAATTCGTTTCATTCGAGCATTCAACCAAGGTTTTTTGACAGCTTTATACATAGTTACCCCGATATTGTTGTTTGTTGAATCTTGGTAGATTATCGTGTAGAACACGCGGGCTGGACATAATACAAAATATTAGCACGAAATATGAATACTAGGCTCAATGAAATCCGGTTTCGGTAAGCCATCACACTGAAATAAAATGTGTATCACATTTTGCGTATCAGCGGTTTCTCAGCGGAAAAATCCTTGTTAATTTCTTTATCAACATATAGAAAATCAATGTAGAATAGTACCGCTTTCATAAATCGTTTGAACTTATCTTGCATTAGTGCTGGAATTTGAAATTATCTGATTGAACACTACTTGTTTATTACTAACACAATGGATGAAGCGGGTATAATCAATATCTAATCCGAACGGATAGCATAACTTCTCGCTTATTAATTCTTCCGCCGACATAACTTACAGTATTGAATAATACGCAAGTCTCAAGACGGGCTATGTGAAGAGCAATTAGAAAATTCCAACGCTATTCCACACCAGTTCCTCTAAGGAAAGTGTCTTCCTGAACTTTTGCTTACGAAATTAGCTTGTTTAACTTCTCACAATGGCTAGGCCCCCAGAACAACACGATCCCTGATCTGCTACTCAGACTTCAATATTATCAATTGTTATTATTATAATGTACCCGGTTTAGAATACGACTTCGCCAGTAATGTCGGGTTTTTTACCTGTAGCTTTCCGAATCATACATCCAAACGTTAATCCACGACGATCTGGGCTAATGAATCATCTCAAAACTAATGTTGACAGTGTTGAGGACAACTCTAGCTAGTACAAACTCGAATCTTTCCATTCATGTTCCAACAGAAATGAAAAACCATTGAAAGCTCGTACACCTACAAATCTTGATTGTATATCACACATCAAAACGATCTTCTTGTACATCATCGCTGACATTTTATACTAACCGGGTTTATCTCCTACTAGGTCACTTAATTTCCATAAACACGCCCTCCGCAATTGTTTCTAAATAACTACAACATGCTGCAAACCGTTCACAGGGTCTCATTTATTCAAACCTCAACATAGCGGCTTTTTCCCCATATAATATGGGAAATCGCCTTTCTGGTAAACGGTGACTCACTGACGACTAACAGTATGGAAAACGCGATAACATTTCAACGAATCCAAGATCAGAATCTTTTTTCTTGAATGGACTTGTCCATCAAATTCCAACCCAATAACGTTGAATTCTCACACGAGCAAATGCTCCAAAACATTGATCGAAATCCTTATCATCTGGCAAACCACCTTTAATTATCTTTAAGGAACCGACCGACATACTTGTCGAACCCTTGGCCGTAATCTCTACAAGAACTTTTGAGGAAAGGGCCGTATTGTTAGTCTTTTGGGAAAATACTGGTACTCCCGTCTACAGAAAAAGAGGACTCGGCTGCACAGAAGTATGGTCATATTATCATCGTAGGTTCTATATCGACTTACCTATGCTCGTTTGAACTTTGCGACTCAATTTAATATTAAATTAAAAGGCGCTCAGCTACTGGAGGTTTCCTAGGACATCTATTCTGATTTATCTCATGCATTTAATAGAGTAAATTTTCGCTAGTTAATCGTAAAGATGCCTGTAGTCGGTATGAGTGCCTGACGTGTCGCGTTTTCCTTACAAATTGTTCACATAAGGTGAAAGCTGGATACTCCTTATCGGTATCTGTGACGATTCGGTCCGAAGTCCCACTCGGCTCTTGTCTTTTCTTTTTTACTAAATTTTGTCGTCAAGATTTCAAACCTTTATTAAAAGCACGCTTATCAAATATAAAGTATACGTCGATGACTTAGAAATCTACGCAAAGAAAAACAGGGCAGCAAGCGTACTTGTTCAAGGGGCGACCAACTTAGTTGCACCCTAGCTGAAAAACAACAAAATAATATTTACAAGACTATTCAACATGACACTATGGATCCTGTAAATAACGATCAGGCGCCATGTGACCTATAAATATTTAGGCGTTATTTTTGCTAATATAAAGTTCAGAACTTATATTGTTGAGCCTTTAAACTGAACATTATGACTGTAGCCTTATCGTATGGAGTTTACAAAACCTACATGTTACTTATATATTTCTTATACTGTAATCGTTCCTTGGTGGATGTGTCACTTACGAGTGTAGCTCTTATTTTAAAAATGCAAATACTTATCCAAATCCTTGAAACAGCTTTCTAAAAGGAGATATATAATACCCTTACGAGCCTATCAAGCTGCGAAGTATTTCTCCACAAAAAAATTACTTATAAATCCTCCGCATATTACAGAAGGATAATTTTATTGACGACTTCTTAAAAATTCAAGGAAGCGATTTAGTAGAACATTATTAACAATTTTGTTTCATCAAACGTGGCAAGACTAATTGAGTCTGTGACGTTTTTGAATAGAGAAAAGTGTTTTGTATTGCAAGCGATGCCTTGAATGCCTCCTATCCAAAAGGCTACATTTATTAAAGTCGAGTGAGATTTGTGCTATTTCAAATGCTGCAATGGTCCTTGCAGTGAAATTGAAAATTCACTGGTATTATACCGTATAAAAAACCCCCAGGCCATAACACGTTATGTTCATTACTTCCACTATTCTTACAAAATGTGATAAATATGCACTAACGATGTCAAACAATAGTAATCTCAGTTGTCACATTGTTAACGACACATAATTTTTTTCATTTTGACAAAAACTGTAGTCTGAAGGCTATACAAAATTGATTTATAAACAAGCAATTGTTTAACATTAAATATACTGACCGGTGGGCTGTCGGAGTGGTAATCCATATTTGGTTATTTACGTATTTAAATCCGTAGTCCATATAAATTCGTTGAAGAACGAAACGAATTCAAAATTTTTCACTCGCTCAATTTCTAGTAACTGCTGCGACAGGCAGAGTATCACAAGACCACTAAATACCAAATGCATCTACTGGATCCATAATCAAATGATTCCTTTATATATGTATTTCCATCAACAGTAGTAGCACCACTAATGTGAGAAAAGTGCAAGTAAAATGACATCTGATATTGAAATTTTAGAAATGTATAATGCTACTCCGGTCTAATTAAGGTTCGCTATTTATAAATGCAACTAATATTGTCTTTAACGAGAGCACAACAGACATTGCCACAAAACCGGTAACTTAGCCGACGTTTTAGTAGCACTGTTTTTTTTTACTCCGGCCTTGCTGAAGTTTAATTTGTTAACCAAGCTTCGGCTAATGTCTCTGTTGGCTAAATACAGCAGATGAAATTACGCTAAGTTACCGTAAGTATAGTTTTATTATTCTCATTACTTCACTCCAAAGAACGTTGATTTTAACAACGAGATGGTGAGGCCGAGGTCGTCGTGATTAATCCAATGGATCGCTTAAATTTATATTCTCACCAAACTTCGCCAGTCCTCACGCAAAGTTGTCGCTGCAGACTTTTCTAGTGCTTTCTTCTTGCGAAGTTTTTATGTATACTTCTTTTACATAAAATGCCACTGTTATCAGACCATTTTGTGGTCTGACCCTTTCGCAGTGGTGTGGTTTCTGTCGAAATTCGTGGCGCCTCAAAGTCTCTCTCCGGCTGTTGCGCTAGATCAGTCGTTTAGCCATTCTTCTTTTTGTTATCATTTTAAACCGTAAAGCATACGTGTGTTCACTCTCGGCCGTCGCTTCAGTCATTGTCGGCTGCTGCTACTGTAGCTACCGATAAGCTGTCTGCTTCGGCACACGCCTCTTCTTTCCCGTTTTCCCACTCACGCTCAACACCAGATCTATTTTCGCGCTTTCTCTACTACGGGAGAACATTGTCACATCACATAATAAACGACAAGTCTCTTAGTAGTCAATTACCAGGGCCTGGAAGCGGCTTTTGTTTCCTTAATATGACAAAATCCGTGGTCCAACGTTAGCCGCAGAATAATTCTCCCGTCTAAGTGTCCTACACAGTGACGTCGATCGGACATCGGCGCTGTTGTGACGTTCCTTCCTTTTCGATCTAGAATGACTGAGTCAGTTCTGATACTGTTAGCAACAAAGACTATATGAGGCATTCTATCCGTATGAATCTGTCAGACGGGTTAAAATTTGACTTCTTTACCGGAAAAGGAGAGTGTACTGAATGTTACTGAAGTTGCCGGAATTTACAGAAACTTTAGCTGCGTAGATGACCGTCAAGTGGTCGTTTACGTTGCATCTAGACTTCACCTGCTTGGTCTCGATAACTTGACGCTACCTTAAATCTCGACATTGCAATAGATTTGAAAGGATACTTACTAATGTAGAGACATTAATAAACAATATCCTTCTGTAAGCAAATGCAGTGTGGCCGGGTACCGACAGTATGTGTATATACGATACTAAGGTGTGATGCGAATTTACTTAGATATCTCACAATGATTTAAACGGTGTTCACTAAAATACCTGTTAGTAGATAGATTTAAAACACAGAAGGACGACGAGTATATGGAAGTGGACTTTTCGGTCTCGGACGATTACGTTAAACGCGATTCTCCAATCAAATTTCTCAATATTACTTTTATATATTAACTAAAAGCTAAAATATGCTGAGAAGTTAAGATAAATCAAGGGCTCATATACTTAAATGTAATTGTTCATCAAACTCATAATAGTAGCCTGCATACACACTTCTCAGTACCTAAAAGAAATCAGCAGTTGACAACCTTTACATGTTCTACATTACATCATATGTCATTTATCAACCACTAGTAATGATTGATAAATATGTGACTCCTTAGTGTGTAACGTATGTTTACTAAGTGTGGGGAAACGACCCGCGTATAATATACGGCGTGTATGACCCAAGTTGCACTGTTAATCCAGTGGGTAGTACATTTAGTAAGGCATTTGACTTTGCGTCAATGTTTTCCATACTTTACTGGTAATAATCGACCAGGAGCAAGAATGGTACATATGCCGTATTAATCTAATACATTATTTGACTGTTGTTAAGCGCCAAATGTAAAAATTGTTTCTTTGAGGATTGCGCAAAACTCTGGAAAAGTCAAAATTTGTAGGCGGCGTTCAATGTTGTTCCGTGTAAATTTAAAGAAATTGGCATTGTTAAGTGCTCCAACGCAATGGTCAACTGTGATGACTTATAGTGGATTGCAGTTTCTCTCAGAGGCCCTTACTTCCCACTCACACCAAGAGAAATCATATGATGCAGGCAATTCTATTGACGACGATATTGGATAATATTTTTTCGAAAATTCTTGGTTGCTGGTGTGGTACTCCTGCAAAAAATTATGCCATTTAATTGTATGTTTTCCGCATGCAGCAAATTTGCCGTTTGGTTTTTGAAGAGGAGTGCTTTACGACGGTGGTGAATCTGGTCCTTTCTACTAACATCTGCTGAAATGAATTAGTTTATTATACGTTGCGTAGGGCTTTCAGTGTTAAGGTGACGCCCTTCGCCTGCAGCGTACGGTGATTAGTTGTTTTGTGTGGTGCTTCATTTTGCGTGCAAAAAGCTCGTCGCGATCTCCATTATAACAATAATTTATTCACCAAAAATGAGCACCAAACCCTAATGGTTTTGTGGAATAAGCTTGAATGTAGCCTAAGCACAATTTACCCCATACCAATGAGTTGAACACAGATAACCGTTCACGACCTATACGAATCCACTTATAATGCACCCTCTCACCTCTCTTTCCGAATGATACTTCTGGATTTGAAAAAAATGGCATTCGTTGTAGTTGTATGGCGATAAAGAGCATCCTGTATAGGTAATAGGAACTATACCTATTTTCAATAGAAGTATACTTCGCAATGGTACCGACAGAGGTCAAATTGTTGTGTAGACTTATATTTCCTTGGTGGCTCTTGTGACAGGTGTATTGTTTGTGAAAGCGTTTTATTCAGCGATCAGATGAATTTTACAATCCCTTTCACTAAATTAAAGAAAGCTTGTCGCTTTATCGTTAAATAGGTGTAGTTTACATTGGCGCAGGCTTTACAATAATGGAGGAGGTTTCCTTCCCCTCCATGACTACATTTGCTGGAAGGATTTCGAACTTGCTTATGGGGCGCCGTTGTGGGCTTTACCTATCCGCGCATAAATGGCGCCTGCTACAGTTCTACGCATTCGTGGAAGTGCGCCTGAAGTTGCTATTTTTGACCACGACCATTGCGGCACAGGAACCAGATTTATAGGCATTATACTTGAGGGATTGTTCTACCGTATATATTAAGCACGGAACGCAGCATAGGCTGAACACGCCGTCTTTATTATCTGAAATCCGTCCGAGCTGTTTAGCTACCACAAAATAATATTTATGTAACACAATTTGGACTTACATGCACACCGTTTAGCTCTCAGTACTGAGTGCGTTAGTCAACCTCGTTATCTCGAACGGGTCGGTTCAATATACAGTGACATAGCATAACACAGTAGACATGGAAAGGTCTCTCCCATGCAAGAAACAAAGTATAAGTAGGAAACCCCCCATTTCGGCCGCAGCTCTATTTAGAATAAAAGTGCAGCGCTCTGTAAAAATCAGTTTTTACGCCTCCACTAAAAGGTGGGATAAACCCACGGATTAAGACTTAAATATGCGACAGATCAGATAGCCCGACGGGTTTATAGCATATAACATTAATGGTATACAAGTAGGTAGCTACTTTAGGACGAACTGTCGAATCTAGATGTTTTAGTTATACTAGCATCAGCATAAACACTGAAGAGAGTGAGTCGACGTGTGTTGTTATAAATGAAACAAGTAACGCCCGGCAAGGATGGACTTAGAGCGTCTCATTGCATAATGCTGCAATGACAATATGTCTCGTAGTCTGTGTTGTCTTTGAAGAACACTGATATCTGTGGAACCGCGAATGCGTCAAAGAGCAACATCGAGTTGACTGTGATTCAAGACTTTTGTCTTTGAAAACATTGTCCTTTGCGACTTTTAAATGTTCACCGAAAGCCATATAGAACTGGCACCGACTAGGTCAGTTTGCTGGAAAAGGGTGAAAGTAATTCGTGGGAGCAAGACGATCACGTTTTTGAGTCGCTCGTGCAAGTCTTAGTGGTAAAGAGGCGATTGTACAAATCGTGCATGACGATCCAGGTGTCGTTGCAGTTTGCAAGTCAACTTTCCTCATCAGGATTATCGGAGATCCTCTTTAAGTTGCAGAGTATGTGTGAAAAATCCAAATACCTCGAGTCTGTCAGAGCAGTGAAATAAGTCGCATCGGTTTCTTGGATGTACCCATGATAGATTCGGTTTTTCCAAGGAATTTATTTGCGAAAAAATCGTTTATATCTTGGAGCGTCCTTTTTCTGCAAACTGAGATGCATGTTATGGAAAAAAACGCCTATCGGAGTATCGAACTCTAAATTTTGCGCATGAATTACATTGATATATTCTGCAATATATTATTACTGCATTAGAATGTTGTCAGGCAGAATGATAGTATTATTGACAGGTTTTAAATACATGTTCTCACTTCTGTCCAATAAACACTGAGAATAGCCGGCGTCAGCCGGGGTAAGGCGCATGTTGGCGGTCAACTAGTTTTTACTGATGCACGGGTCTTCAACATCGGCATCGATACCTCTCCTAATAACCGGTTGTGGAAGTCCCCAAAGCATAGCGTGAAGCTTTCACTGAAAGACTCGCCCGCACCGCATATGCTATGAAAAAATCGATCGATAGCCTTCAAGGCTTCGGGTTTAATCATGGGACGATAATCTAATACAATAAATGAAAAAACTGTCGGAGATCACGAGTTTTCCTCAAAGGTGTATACCATGTGAATGGACCGCGCATACTTTTGTGAAGATGAGGTTTATCGGGAAAGTTTTTATCGTTTCTTTTGGCGCGCCGACGAAGATTAATTTGTGTTAACCTAAGTCTAGGCAACTGCGTGAATTATTGTAGACTATGTCTGTTGTTCATTTAATAATTGTTCGTGGCTACATATAACCTTATGCTGTCTAGTTATATCATATTGGAGTTCTTTCAGGTGGTGCTCTGGATAAGGCAGATTGAAGTCATGTGAAATTTAATTTTGTGTGAAATCATGCTGTTCGTCGACACGCGTACATTCAGTAGGTAATCTTCAACCATTGTCTTCCCGTGTATGGATTAAGATGTCTTGTGGCCGGCTAGTTCGTCACCAACACAATTAGAAATAGATCTCGAATTCCTTATTGTACATGTGTTCCGGCGGCGCCTTCCACCGTTTACTATCAATATTCCTCGTCGAACGAAATGCAGGAAATGTTGGATGCAGGCCTATTTGAACGTAACAAGATGGGCGCCATCGATTGGTTTCAGCATAATGTTGCTCCTTGGACATGTTCCAATAGGAGTAGCAGTTAACAAATTTCACAGCAATGGAGGTTAGTTAGCACAAATTTGACTAAGAGTAGTCGACAAATAGTTCGTTAGGAAGTGACGAACTTGCACAGTCCTCACCCGTACTGTTCAGTTGTTAGGCGTAGAACTTGGGGATCTCAATGTAAAGCAGTATTTTAGCTAAGTCATTTTCGTAGAGAGCCATGGATGCCGCTCGTTTTTCTGGACTTCCCGCAGTTCCCAGTGCCATATTGTATATTCCTGCATGGAATAGCAGTTGCTGCTCAAGCTTTAAGTAGAATAAGTAGGGATGAATTTGCAGATGAGCAC